AGCTGAGAAACAATCTAGACTCCACTAGTCAGCTCCATTCACCTCACACTTTGAATAAGAAGACAGTGAAACTATGAAGCAGTGTATTAATTTTCTAGTGCTGCTATAACAGAAATACCACAAGGGGATAGCTTTAACAAACAGAAGCTTATTCTTTAACAGTTTAGGAGGATAGAAGTCCAAATTCAGGGCACCAACTACAGAAGAAGCCTCGCTCTCTCTGTTGGCTCTGGGGGAAGGTCCTTGTCATCAATACTCCCCTGGACTAGGAGCTTCTCAGTGCAGAGACCCCGTGTCCAAAAGACATGCTCCACTCCTGGTGCTTCTTTCTTGGTGCCATGAGGTCCCTATCCTCTCTGCTCGATTCTCGTTTATACCTCTGAAGAGACTGACTCAAAATACAACCTAATCCTGTAGATTGAGTCCTGCTTCATTAACATGTTGTTATTGTTGTTAGGTGCCATTGAATTGGTTCCGACTCATACCGACGCTATGTACAACAGAACAAAACACTGCCCAGTCCTGTGCCATCCTCACAATCGTTATGCTTGAGCCCATTGTTGCAGCTACTGTGTCAATCCATCTCATTGAGTGTCTTCCTCTTTTTTGCTGACCCTCTACTTTACCAAGCATGATGTCCTTCTCCAGGGACTGATCCCTCCTGACAACATGTCCAAAGTATGTGAGACGTAGTCTCGCCACCCTTGCTTCAAAGGAACATTCTGTTTGTTCTTCAAGAGAGATTTATTCGTTCTTTTGGCAGTCCATGGTATATTCAGTTTTCTTCTCCAAAACCACAATTCAAAGGCGTCAATTCTTCTTCAGTCTTCTTTATTCACTGTCCAGCTTTCACATGCATTAACTACCTCTAATCCTGCCTCATTAACATCATAGAGGTTAGGATATACAATACATTGGATAATCACATCAGATCACAGAATGGTGGACAACCATACAATACTGGGAATCATGGCCTAGTCAAGTTGACACACATTTTTGGGAGACACAATTCAATCCGTACCAAGCCGGAATCAGGGGAAATCCATTCTAGGAAGGGGGTGGCACAGGTGACAGCACACCCAGTTTCCAGAGGCAACTGGCAGAGCCCAGTATACAGTGTGTCTAGTATGGATGCCAAAAATCATGGTGGTGGTGCTCAGACAGGACAGGAGTGTTGTCATCATACGAACAGCTCTGCAACTTTTTAAGACATTGTTCTGACTCTTCTAGAGATTTTGTCAGCCACCAAATGCCACTCTAATAAATTTCTCTTCTGGTTATAGTAAGCCCAAACTGGTTTTTGCTTCTTGCACCTAAGGCCCCTGACAGTGTTACTACAGCATCTTTCATCTACTCCAGTCACCACACTTAACTGTAATTGCTTATTAATCATTTGTTGCCACAATCCTCAGTGCCTGGTAAGCACGCAACAAAAATCGATTGAATGAATGAAGGAAACTCTCTGAGCTTTCATTTCCTCAGCAATAAACTGGGAGTAAGAGTTCTTGCTTTAAGGAAGATTGTGAAATGTCCTAATAGGAAATAAACTTGGACATCTTCCATTCTAACCAACAATTTTACACACAAGGAACTGAGGTCTAGAAGTGATTTGCCAAGTTTGAGGGATGAGTTTGGAGGACATATTGACTTCCATGTCAGCATGCTTTCTACACACCAGGATTCCTATGAAATATTTTATTTTAATGATCTCACCTTACTCTTTTTTGAGAAGAATAAAATATACATGTATCTACTGATAAGCAGAGAAGGCAGGTGTAGGCATTGTAAAGGACATTACGTGTCTATGGCAAACCAGCATGTGCTTTTGTGTTTGCTGTGTATATTCAGGTCTGAGAGTCCTTGAGTAAGAAAGAATTACTTATGCCTAGGGTAAGGCTAGTACCCACTTTATTACATGTAGTCCTCCCAACAACAGTATAAAGTAGAAATTGTTATGATACAGATTAAAAACAAACAAACACACACAACAGGTTCAGTGAAGTTAACCGAGTTTTTCCTGTACCATCAACCATCATGTTGCAAGTATACGAAGCAACGACTAAATCACAGCCAAATAAATTGCTCCTTTCCTGTGCTTTGGGTGCTAATTCCATCTCCCCATCACTAATTTATATCATTAATTTACAATCCTGTGAAGTTTTTCATAGTCCTATATGAGCCGTTATCTTCTTGCTTTTGCCTGCTTTATGTCTTGCTGCTGTTGGTACCTTCTGGAGGGTGGAATTCGCAATAACGGTTAGCATCTCTAGAAGAACCCACTTCACAAATGGTCTCATGTCTCTACATTAGGTGATGGTATGAATTTCGGTACTTCTGCAAGTCCAAAGCATTAAAGAGCCACAAGCAGGCTTTTTTAAATTATTGAATTCCAGTTTCTATTCTTGACCATTTCACTTATTTTTGGGAACCACTCCTCATTCAAGTCACACTTAGCTACTGTCTTGGTTATCTAGTGCTGCTATAACAGAAATACCACAAGCAGACGGCTTTAACAAAGAGAAATTTATTCTCCCACAGTCTAGGAGGCTAAAAGTCCAAATTCAGGGCATCAGCTCCAGGGGAAGGCTTTCTCTCTCTGTCAGCTCTGGAGGAAGGTCCTAGTCATCAATCTTCCCCTGGACTAGGAGCTTCTCTTGGAGGGAACCCCGGGTCCAAAGGATGCTCTCTGCTCCCAGCTCTGCTTTCTTGATGGTGTGAGGTCCCCAATTCTCTGCTCCCTTCCCTTTTAGCTCTTGGAAGTTAAAAGGTGATGCAGGCCACACTCCAGGGAAACTCCCTTTATATTGGGTTAGGGACGTGACCTGAGTAAGGGCATTAAATCCCACGCTAATCCTCTTTAACATAATCTGATCTTGCCTCATTGACCACAGGCAGAGATTAGGATCTACAACACATAGGAAAATTACACCAATCACAAAACGGAGGACAACCACACAACCCTGGGAATCATGGCCTAACCAAGTTGATATACCTATTTTGGGGGGACACAATTCAATCCATGACAGCTACTAAAAGAATGCACAGAGAGATTTAAAGTCAGTATGAATGTCCTCACTGTTTAATTTTTTTTTTTTTTTTCCTCTTTTAATATTCTTCAGGGGCAACACAAACTCCTGGAAGGTGTAGGATTCTTACCCTACGAGATGCATTCTAACATTTCCTTGGCATTAACTCCTCAAATCCTTAAATTCAAGGCACACTTTTTTTTGTTTGTTTTGTTTTGTAACCTGCTTTTTTCTTTATATGTCATACATAGTTTTCCACTCCAATCATTTCTTGATTCAAATGGCATTACTCAATCCACTTGTATATTTATATGCATAAATACATTTTCTCCAGAGGGTTTTGTAAACACCAAACTATAAAGAAGGCAAGAGTTCCTTCTTCCTATGGAATTACCTCACAACAATTGCATTTGGTGTTGAGAGAGTTCTGGCATCCAGAGACCCAGGTGAGAATGTGTTTGTTGCTGTCATTCTCTAGACTCTGGTCCCTTCCCTCCCCTCATTTTCCTCCTCTGTTCTACAAAACGGTAAGTTGCAATTCCTCCTCCTTGACTTTCATCTACACTTGTTTCCAGCCATGAGTCTTGAATGCAGAGGTTTGCGATTTTCTTGGTTCATCTCTAGACAAGCCCACTTCTGGGAAGCAGTCAAATGTCTACATTTGTTTCTGCAGAGAGTCACTGCTGTTTAAACTGGCATGCCATATTTATCCATTAGAAGTGTTGTTTCCATTCATGAAATGTATGAGCTGATGGTGCAATGGGTAGTTAACAACAACAACAAAAAAATGTAATCACTACATAGAACATACAGTTTTAAACTATGTAGTTAGGATTTGGAATGGGCCCAGTATTTTTCTAAAAAATGTGTGTGGGGGGGACGTATTACTATAGTTCACAACAGCATAATAATTTATAAGAATTTTTCTTTCCTTTTTTTGAGTTTCTGAATTTTTTTTTAATTGTGCTTTAGATGAAGATATACAGAGCAAACTAGTTCCTCATTAAACAATACACGTATTGTTTTGTGACACTGGTTGCCAACCCCACGACATGTCAATACTCTCCCCTTCTCGACCTTGGGCTCCCCATTACCAGCTTTCCTGTCCCCTCCTGCCTTCTTGTCCTTGCCCCTGGGTGGGTGTGCCCATTTAATCTCATTTTGTTTTATTGGCTGTCTAAACTTTGGCTGAAGGGTGAAGCTCAGGAGTGACTTCAGTACTGGGTTAAAAGGGTGTCCAGGGGGCCATGCTCTCAGGGTTTCTCCAGTCTCTGACAGACCAGTAAGTCTGGCCTTTTTCTTTTTTGTGAGTTAGAATTTTGTTCTGTATTTTTCTCCAGCCCTGTTCTGGACTCTCTATTGTGATCCCTGTCAGAGCAGACGGTGGCGATAGCCAGGCACCATCTAGTTGCTCTGGACTCAGTCTGGTGGAGGTTGTGGTAATTGCGATCCATTAGTCCTTTGGACTAATCTTTCCTTTGTGTCTTTGGTTTTCTTCATTCTCCCTTAGGGGTGGAACCAGTAGACCTATCTTAGATGGCTGCTCACTACTCACTAAACTATGACGTAGAACATTTTCTTTGTAACCTATGTTATGCCAGTTGAGCTAGATGTCCCCCAAGACCACGGTCCCCAGCCAAGGCACACTTTCTGGGCACCCTAAACCGCTAGTTTATGGGGTTAACAGAGACCTCCTGTCTTGTTCAAGGTCACTGGGGAAGATGCCTACCGGGACCTGTGTAAGCCTTGCAGGTCCGTTTTTGCCTCCATAGTCAGTCCACTCTCTCACCCCACTCTTGGGGTTCACCCGGCTGGTTGCTACGTTTCAGTGCGACCGCAGGGTGGTCGGACTTGGAACAGCAAGTCTGGAAGGTTCCTGAGTGTCAGGCAGAGCGGGCGGTTCCCTGGAAGCCAGAGGCGGAGCCGGCGGCGACCGGCGGGCCGGGTTATGCCTCCCGGCCGCGCCGGTTGGCTGAAGCCGCGCGCCGCCCGGTAGGAGACGCTCTGATCAAGGTTCCGTGGCGGCCCAGTGCCCGGTCTAGCTCGCTCGCCGGCTGGCTCGCCTCCCGCCGCAGGACCAGCCCGCCGCCCTCCCTGCCATGCAGCGGTTAGCCATGGACCTGCGGATGCTGTCCCGGGAGCTCTCCCTCTATCTGGAGCACCAGGTCCGGGTTGGCTTCTTCGGTTCGGGAGTGGGCTTATCCCTGATCCTGGGCTTCAGCGTTGCTTATGCCTGCTACTACCTAAGCAGCATTGCCAAGGTGAGCCGGGGGTGGGGCGGGCACGGAGCGCAGGGCCGCAAGCGGCTTTGCATGGAGCCAGAGCAGTCGCGGGGCCGGGCGGCTGTGGCAGCCCTGGGCGCCAGCATAGCTGCTTCCGAATTGTTGCAGCTAGCCGGCGTCTGATGAACGCCCTTTCGGGGCGCGCGGGAAAACCGGCTGGTCCTAGCGCCTGACTCCCGAGTCCGGGTCTTCTGACCGCAGCCCGGCCCCTGGTGACTTCGGCGGGGCGCCGGCGGCAGTCCCTGTCACCGCTCGCACAATGCTGGTGCACTTTTGAGAATGACTTTCTTATCTCTGCTCTCGCGTTTCCCTCGTGATTTTATGAACATTGTCTAAGTCCGTTGCGATTGTGGATTGTTAGCGAAACACCACCACAACAGGATGTAAAGGGAGGCAGCGTGCGCTCCAAGTATGAGCAAGGGTCAAGTCTGTGCTCATTTCTGGTTATGGTAGGCGGAAACTTTGTTCTGCACCCTTCACTGACACTGGCTTTTCCTCCAGAAACCCCAGTTAGTGACCGGGGGTGAGAGTTTCAGCCGCTTCCTTCAGGACCACTGTCCGGTGGTGACAGAAACGTACTATCCGACGGTGTGGTGCTGGGAGAGTCGGGGACAGACACTGCTGAGACCTTTCATCACTTCCAAGCCCCCGGTGCAGTACAGAAAGTAAGTAAATTTCCATTTTCAGTCATTTCTCCATAATCACATTTTTTGGACACTTTTTAAAAAACATACTCTCAGTTCTTGGTTAATAGAACCTCTGGTTTAGTAAATATAAAGAAAAGGAAGGGAAATGAAAATGAAAGGTATGTCCCCCACACTACTCCCAGCTGCAGGAAAATATTCTGGTATTGCCGTTCACCTTTTTTTTTTTTTTTTTTGCGTCTTGATGTAAATAGTTTATTTCGACGATGAGGGAAGTGTTTGGGGGTTATTGTTTTCTCGTTTGTCATGTGTCTGTCCCTGAGGACCTAGATCCTTTAGTGACATGCACCATTTCATTGATTTGTAGCAGGTGTAGGTGGGGAGGCAGAGAAGAAAGACAATTTGTGCTGTGTGTGAGGGATTCATGTAACAGGACTTCATATTGATAAGCAAGTAGGTTCTCAATAATAATACCCTTGAGACGTTAGAGATATGGTCCAAAATATGTCAGTAAGAGGGAGATTTAAATGATGTCTGTTATTAATTTCCCTGAGTCATCTAGTCCTTCTGGAATTCCTTTTGTTACCTCAAATTTGCACTATTTGGGAAAATTCTGTAAGTTCCTAGATACTGTTTGAGAAGCATTTTAAAATATTTAAGAAGCAGCTTTTGTAATACACTTTGTTGGGAGACTGCATTCTTGAGTCAGAAGAGCTAGAGTGGTGATCAGATTGGCATTTTACTTATTCATAATTCCCTGTTATTTGGGTGACCTCAAACGAATAAGGTTTAAATGCTGGGTATTTTAGAGTAATGATGAAATGATTAAGGTAAATACTTGAACTGCCTTTGAAGCTCTTTTTTATATATTACCTTTTACCGAGGTTGCTGGAAATACTTTATTGAACTAATGTTTATAATATCCTTGTGGGGGAAGAAAGTAACTTATACGTAGTTTATACAGAGTTCATAGATATATATGAATATTGAATGAAAAGTTATCTTGAGATTAGACATGACTTGAAATACTTAGTGAGTAATGTCTTTTGCATTATTCCTTTTAGTGAGCTTATTAAAACTGCAGATGGAGGACAGATTTCACTGGACTGGTTTGACGATGACAGCAGTAAGTGCTATATGGATGCCAGCACCAGACCTACTATCTTATTGTTGCCTGGCCTCACTGGAACAAGCAAGGAATCGTATATCCTTCATATGATCCATCTCTGCGAAGAATTGGGATACAGGTACCAGTGAAAGATTTTTTCCATTTTTCAGTTATTCATTGTAAATGAAATCAAAATATATCTACATGTTTGTTTCAGAAAAACTTATTGTTTCTTTACATGGATTGAGCAATCCGCTAAATTATTATTTTTCTCTGCTTCCTCCTTGCCCTCTTTTCAGAAAGATATCTAATTAATTAATCATCTCACAGGAAATATCACTTGGCATAGTAGGCACAATTCAAATTTTGGTTGAATGAGTGAATGAAATGAGAATCGCATGGAATTGACAGAAGCCCCCAAGTCAGAAGGCCCCATTGGAGCGAGTGCTGTGGAGAACCGCAATTACAAACCCCTGAGAGAGTACCCAGTGGCCCTCATGTCACACTCTGCATTCGGGCCCTGGATCCACTAATCTAATCTCCCTGGCTCAGATCCCAAGTGTAAAAAACATTCAGAATCAGCTTCTACGTCTTCCTTATTTTTCCAAAGTCATGTTCCCTACCCCACCACCAGCTGCAGGAAAACATTCTTGCCTCTTTTGTCCACATCAGTTTCCAGGTGCACATGGCTAGTGTTCAGCTGATGATGCTACAGCATTTTGGGGTACCCATTATTCAACTCAGTTATCAGGTACAATTTAATGTTTTTGAAGTGACTTAGCAATTTTAAATTTCAGGTACAGCCCCAGAATCTTAAAACAGAGGTCATTGTGAAAGATGCTATTTTTTTGTGCCTCAGTCTTTTTTAGCTGACAGTAGTTAGTGTAATGGAACACTCTGCGTTGCACTGATATTGAATGGTATCTTTGTTAAACTTGGAAGCCTTGTTTCTGTGAATATCTGATGTGGAGTGTATATTTATGAAAACATTTTGATATACAGAGGGTAGCGTGGGAATAGCTAATTCAGTTGTAACAAGTAAACTCTGATCTTTTGCAAATAAAGCGCATTTTGTCCCTGAAGTGACATTCTCTCAGAAGCCATGATAGGGTGTTTTAGAATTATGGTTCCAATGAAATTTGTACTAAGCAGTAGCAGGAATTCATCATTTTTCCATGTTTAAGCACAACCCAATTAGACATGAGGCTTGATTCCAATTTTTTGCTAAAACTTACGTTGGTGAACTATAGAAGATCATAAAGTCTTTTTGTATGTATTTAAATTGCTGATTCTAGACTTGACCTGAGCCAACTCCCAAGACTTAAGAAACTGCTTTTAAAAACAATGTAGTTGAAACTCAAGGACTGAATCTCATAAGCCCTAGAGCTGCCAGTATCATGGCTTCCTTCCATCACTTGTTAAAGTTGCCAAATTTCACTACCAAGGCTGTGATTGCACTGTGCTTCAAAGCAGTTGGAAGGTTATAGCTTCTTAGGGATTGAACTGGTCTCTTTTTTATTGATTTAGGACTTTTGTTGAGGATGTAAGATATAAGGAAGGCTTTGTGGTAGGGACTGTGAGGAGATACAAAGAGTTAGGAGAAGTTGTCCATGTCTCAAGGAGCATACGAGAGGGGAAGACTGGGCCAGGTCACCCCCAGCTGCTTGAAAACCCAGCCTATTTGGGTTTAGGGATTTTGAATGCTGAATCAGACTATGCTTGAAGATAGCAGAAAAGATGAATAAGCCACTCAATCAAATTTTCAGTGGTCTTGGGCCTGTCCTCCATTCATTTTAACTTCAAGGAGTCACAGAATCTAGGTCAGAGAGAGTGTATTAGTTACTTTTGCTATATAATGCAGTCTTAGTTGCTGTTGAGTTCATTTTGACTCATGGCAACCCCAAGTGTTTCAGAGTAGAACCGTGCAACATAAGGGTTTTCAATGGCTGCTTTGTCTTTCCAGGCCTTTCTTCCGAGGTGCCTCTGGGTTGATGTGAACCTCCAACATTTCAGTTAGCAGCCAAGCACGGTAACCATTTACATCACCCAAGGACTTATTGTTGTATAACAAACCACCTCAAAACTTAATGGCTTAAAACAATAATCTTTCTGCTCACCATTCTGTGGGGCATCAATTTGGGCTGAGCTCAGCTGGGTGGTTCTTCTCGTCTTGGCTTGGATCACTTGTATGTTTGTGGTCAGCTGCCAGGACAGCTGCTGGTCTGGGAGCCCCATAGCTGTGATGGCTTATCTCAGCTCCACGTAGTTCTCTTCTCCCCTACCAGGCTAGTCCTGGGCTTATTCTTTTTGTGGCAAAAAGTTCCAGGAGTATAAGAGTGGAAGCTACAAGGTGTCTTGAGGCTCAGGCTCAGAATTCCCACAGTGTTGCTTCTGCTACATTCTGTTAGTTAAAGCAAATCACAAAGCCAGCCCAAAGTCAAAGGGTCGAGAAATAGACTTTACCTCTATAGGAAGAACTGCAAAATACAGTAGCCATGTTTGCAATCTACTACCTAAGGTTGAGTCCTTAGGTGGCAAAATATGTCTAAGTCATTGATATATTGACTCTGTAGCATGGGATCTAGTAGGTAACAGAGCTTGTGGGAGGCTGTATAATATGGGGGTTGTGTGGGCTTTGAAACCAGACAAGCCTGGATTCAGCTCTCAGAACTGCCCTTTCTGAGTGACCCTAGGCAATTAATTTAACTTCCCCAATCACAGTTATCTCACCTACTTCAGAGAGTTTAAATGAGTTAGAGTATATAAAGTACTTGGTTTAGTGCCCTGCACAAAGTGGGTGTTTAATAAACGTTTAGGAGCCCTAGTGATGCAACAGTTAAGTGCTCGGCTACTAACCGCAAGGTTGACGGTTCAGACCCACCCAGCTGCTCCACAGGAGAAAGATCTGGTGATCTGCTCCCACAAAGGTTACAGCCTAGGAAACCCCATGAGACAGTTCTACTCCGCCACATGGGGTTGCTATGAGTCAAAAATCGACTTGACAGCACCTAACAGCAGCAACAACATTAAATGTTTGTCTTCCTTCCCTTATTTTCTATTCCCAGATCAGAGTAGAATTTTGTGTATGATTTAGAAAAGCAAGTAAAAGCAAACCTACCTTTTGGGAAACATAAACATCTGGTTTTCTTGCAGGAATGCTTGAATGTTGTTATAATGGCTTTTACACAGGAGAGTTTTATATACAGTATAAACACCCCTGTAACATGAGATGCACTTGCCATAGGGCCCAAGTTATGATCTTGTATAAAGGTTGAGCATTTAGGGAGGGTCATGAATGCCGTCAGGTCACCAGGGACTCATTTGATGATTTATGTTGCGATATGATTTAGATATTGGAGAGAACCTAGCTCCCAGCATATGAACAAATAAAACATAAGGGTTTATTGTTGTTGCTATCAAAAATTTTTTTTTCATGTTCCTGAAAACTAACAGAAAAATAATACTTCTCTGTTGTTAGGTGCCATCGAGTCAGTTCCAACTCATAGCGACCCTGTGTACAACACAACGAAACACTGCCCAGTCCTGCGCCATCCTCACAATCGTTATGCTTGAGCTCATTGTTGCAGCCGCTTTGTTACTCGATTTTGTTAAGGGTCTTCTTCTCTTTCACTGACCCTCTACTTTACTAAGCATGATGTCCTTCTCCAGGGACTGGTCCCTCCTGATAACATGCTAAGGTTATCGTCTAGATAGCTTCTCTGTTAAGGCCCACTAATTCAAAATTAATAATGGATGGGCTGGAGACTAGACTAAAGTTCATTTATGATCATTGTGAGCAAAGTCTTTACTAAGTAAATCGAAGGTAATCAAATTCTGTGGGGAATATTTGGCCTGCCTACATTGCCAGAGCGCAATGTGTACTTCCGTGGATAGGCCTGCCCCGGAAAGAGCAATGTTGGGCCGTACAGGTCCAGCCAATCTTCTAAAATGTACCCATCAGATAAAGTTGCTACCTTCTGGAGAGTGAGAAAAGTAAGTAAAGGGATAAAGAAAGGCCAGAAGTTTGTTTAGAGATAAACCCTCATAGTATAACCAGAGAACTGAAGAAAAGGTTGTCCTCTCTAATAGTTTACATTTAAATGATTGATAAAGTCGTTAGAAAGTTTATCCATTCATCCAAGATTTCTCTTTTTAGAAAAATTTCATTCACTAGTGTAGCCTAACAAATATCATTTTATGTACCTCAATAATATCCTGTTTTCTTAAATCTTTTTCCATTCTCTGAATTGATTTCCAATAGTACAACTAAAAATGAGGAGAAAAACAGTATCTCTGAGAACATCTGAATCATATTTTACATTGATCTTCTTTATTGGAGCTTTATCTGCCATTATATCCATCTCCAACCAATATTAAAAAAGAGTGACCCATCCAGAATTATGAAATAATCAGTTCACTGAAATCTAGGTTAATCATTAAGTATTTTGGTACCTATATTCCCAAGGAACATACAGTCTAGTTGAAGGGACAAAGAGTTTACAGTAGTAAGGAAATGTATATTAGAAAGGACAGGATTGGCTGCAAGTGACAGAAAACTCAAAACAGTGGCTTAAACAAGATACAAGTTTATTTCTCTCACATGTAGAAATCCAAGAAGGCAGATCCAGGCTTATATGGTGCTCTAAGCTTTTCATCAGATTGCTCATGGCTGCTTCAGCTCCAGCTATGACAGACATAAGCATTCCAGCACCAAAAAGGAGAAAAAAGGAAAGTAGAAAATGCACCATCTTCCTTTAAGGATGCTTTTCAGCAATTGCTCACACCACTCTTGTGTATGTCACATTATCCTGCTCTTAGCTGAGTGAGCCACATACCCAACTAAAGTGTGGGGTTCTCTTGCTGAGGAAGAAGGAGAGGATGGATATTGGCAGCTAGCTAGAAGCCTCTGCCACTGAGCGGTCAGAGTGTTGGAGGAGAGACGTTTTATGTAGGGAAGGAATAGGTCAGCCATGTCAGATGCAACCGAAAGGGCCAGGAGAATAAAGTGAAATTTGAGAAGACTCAGTAGAGCACTGAGGAAGGAAGCCAAGCTGCAGGGGGTGAAGAAGACCTCAGTAGACTAGAGCAAGAGTGAATCACACATGTGATAAGTTTGACGGAGAAAGGAGAGAAATGAGT